TATGTGGGTGTTAAAGGATAAATCCTGATCAAATATAACACCAAGATTCCTTACAGTCTCACTGGAGGCCAAATTAATGCCATCCATAGTTAATATATCTTTAGATAATTTGTTTCGTAGATTCTTCGGGCCAAGTACAATAACTTCAGTTTTGGTCGTGTTTAACATAAAAAAATGTAAGGTCATCCACGTTTTTAAGTCCTTGAGGCAGTCTTGAATTTTATTTAGATGATTCATTTCATCAGGCTTGATTGATAAATATAGTTGAGTATCATCCGCATAACAATGAAAGTTTACAGAATGATTCCTTATAATATTGCCTAACGGAAGCATATATAGTGTGAACAAAATAGGTCCAAGCACTGAGCCCTGTGGCACTCCATGGCTAACTTTGGTTTGCGTGGAAGATTCATCGTTGACACGTACAAACTGAGAGCGTTCAGATAGATAGGACCTAAACCAGCCTAAAGCAGTTCCCTGTATGCCAACTAAGTGCTCTAGTCTTTGCAATAGGATATCATGGTCGATAGTATCAAATGCAGCACTGAGATCGAGCAAGACAAGAATAGAGACAAGTCCCTTGTCTGAGGCTATTAGAATGTCATTTGTGACTTTAACCAGAGCTGTCTCTGTGCTATGTTGTGTTCTAAAGCCAGACTGAAAATCTTCAAATAAATAATAGTTTTTTAAGTAATCACACAGCTGTTTTGCGACTGCTTTCTCAAGAATTTTTGATTCAATTTTCCATCAGCACACATTTTTTCTTTCTGAGTAAAACGGTTTAACAGTACAAGTGTGCATGTTAAGTAATACAATCCTGATGAGCATATTACCTAGTGTGAATGATGGCTTGTGTTTCAAAATGCTTTGAGAACAAAGACAGACAAGAAAAATCACTATATTGATGCAGACCGTTTAATGTTATAGAGAAGAGTTAATCAAAAATCATGACAGGAAAACTGTTCAACAACATCAACATGTGTAAATCCAGGCGTAGGTGATGTTAACTTCCTGGGACTAAAGCAACACAAATGACCTTACAATGTGTTGAATTGACATTAAATAAATGTTGCTAAAACAGTCATTAAGCATTTAGGCAAGATTAAATATTTTAGTTTCGGAAAAGAAGCAGGAACTTAAAAATGTAGTGGACTTGACTATGAGTAATTATTCTACATTCAGACGAAAATATATTCCATTTATTTTGCTTCTGTCCCGGTGACTTCCACCTCGCAGAGTGTCAGGAATTCTCTTCTTCCACGAATCACAATGGTTACGTACTGGCCTTCCATTCCGTTGCACTCAAACGTTTTGGAGGTCCCAGCTTCGATGGATGAGATAACAGCACATCTAATGAAAAAGAAAATATAACAGAACTATAAGAGAAACTGTTAAAAGAGGAAATCTTTGCATAGATCTCCCAAACTGTTCTTTTCAAGAAACTGAATCATTCCACTGTGTTATAAAATATATGCTGCAAGAGTATTTACATGGGATTAGGTCTGCCGTGGAGGGAATTTCCAACCCGGATCTCAGCACCATTGATCCTATCGGAGCAACAATCTTTCCTGTTGGTGATGGTGACAGTGTTGATCCTATATGTCTTTTGAAGGTCCAGTCTCCACCATGGGTTTCGTTGTTTTCTCGTGTGGGTACAGGACTTCTGGGTATATGAGCTGGCAAGATTTCCATCTACGGCCCTTTGAGGATAGCCATAGAAAGCAATTGAGGACTGAGTCACTTTTCCACCTTTAGCAATATTAATAGTACCTGGAAAAAGTAACAACATTTGTTAATAAACATAGTTTGAGAAAGTCACAGAAGTCTTAAATGTGGTTATCTGACCAAAGTAAAAAAAAAGAAAAACAGGAATTATGATATTTGATTTAACTTCAAATGTGCCTCTTTGCTCAAATTCAAAATGGAACCCTTTATCTTGAACACATGATCAGTTGCAGCAGTGTTACCTGAAGGCTGAACGGTGACTTCCACCTCGCAGAGAGTCAGGAATTCTGCTCTTCCACGAATCACAATGGTTACGTACTGGCCTTCCATTCCTTTGCACTCAAACGTTTTGGAGGTCCCAGCTT